GCTGAAGCAAAAACTAGCTAGAACTGGCTTTAAAGTTACGCCAACCTGACAGCAATTTGTTATTTATTTCTCAACAAAGCCTCAGTAGAGTGTTGAGCAGATGACTGCATATATTGAATCAATTTTTCTTCTTTCAGGATATCTACTATTGTAACATTAAAAGATGGGTTGCATTTTCATGAGCTTCATAGTTTCCTAGAGCAGAAAGCAGTACTGAATCATACAGCTGGGGTTCTTACTGCATACAATTAAATTTCACACAGCTACCCTTTCATTAAGCTAAATCCACTGCTTAATCAACCAGCAGTTTATTCTGCAATTGTGAATTGGAAAAAAATCCCAGAATTGCAGATTAATTTGGGTTTCAAAGGGAGACAGCTCATCTAGTCCTTTTCTCTGATGGAAGCGTGTCCAGCAATAAGGTGCCTTCAGCTCCTTTCATGAGGCCCCAGTGCTGCCCTTCCAGGCTTGTTCCCAGCTTGTTCTCAAGACCTTGGGACAGCACTGGTGTGGCTCTGGGGGGCTTTACAGGTAGGTGGGAACAAACTGTGCCTCCCTGCTCAGAGATGGTGTCAGCTCTGAACCAACAGTCATTGGCTGCACTTTGTAGGTGCTGACTGACACAGGATGTTCCACCTCTCAGCAAAATTTTTTTCCTGTAAAACAGCCTGCAACATTGAAAAAGAATTCTGCTTCCAACACACTTTGGTTGTTTTATTGAATTTTTAAGAATACCCAGTGGTTGCTTGACTAAGAAAAAAGAAAAATCTGCCTGTATAAGATGAGGTAAAATTGTTCTAGAGAATTATTTCTATTTTGTCAGACAAATACCTTGGGGAGATTTGTTCCTAGATTTGTTCCTAGACTAAACTAATCCACCTCACTGGACAATGTGGAACTTTTCATAGCTCCTGTATAGTAATAGTTCTGATTCTGGACTAAACAACATATTTAATAGTTAAGAAAAAGATTACATTCTTCTTTGTGTTGTATTTTTTGGGAAATAGGTGGGCTAAATTCTTATGTGGTCAGACTTTGAAAGCATGGCCCTTACAATTTTTTTAAAATCTCTGTATCCTAGTGTGGTTTATTATTCTGCACATTGTGTCTCTATGTGTTTTCTTTCTTATAAGAATAATGAAAAGAGTTTGGTGTTATCCACTGTTGTAAGATGGAAAAGCCTCATTTCACCTTTTGTGGATTTTCTCCATTCCACTGAAATCAAAGCTTTATCCCACACTTAGTGTTAAAGCAGAAGAAAATACCTCATTTCCCTTTAGTGTCCTGTTCTCAGTGACTCAGAGAGCCTTCCATGCCTATTAAAAAACCCTCTGCTGCTTGTTGCTTTAACCCATAGTTCCTTGGTGCTCTCCTGACCAGATATAATTGTGTTTAAAGGGAGTGGTTCACTTTTCATTTACACTGGAGCCTGTAAGGGATTTGCAGTGGCGTGTCCAGAGCACTGGGGCAGTTCTGACAGCTCAGGTGTCCGTGACCTCTTGTCATCCAAGCCGAGCAGAGGTGGGAAGAGTCCCCACAGGAAAAGGGTTTCCTTTGTTAGTGAAGGGCATGAAGGCTACGAGTGGATCATGGTAACACTTTCAGTGTTTAGTCCTTTACTCTGAATATCTAATCTCGACTGCAACGTTTTCTAATTAGACACCAATTTCAGATCTTCCCTTCCTAAGCAAATGTTCTTAAAATGGCAAGGTCCCTTGATTATAATTATTCATGCAGTCCCTTGGCTGTAATTATTTACAATAGTTTGCAGTGTGTTACGGAACCTTTACTTAAAGACACAGTTATATTGGCAGCCCTGTGCTAAGGCTTGAACTTATCTACCGATTCCTACATGTGTTCTATCTTTTCTATATCAAATCTTAATTTTTAAGCACATTTATTGCTTAAAAATTTTTTAATTAAGTATGTTTTTATTATTTGCATTTTACTCTCCTTGCAAAAACTTAGTTCCTGTAACCATAGTTTAAAATTTAGTTTTATATTTCTCATTACTACCATTCTCATTAGCTGTCATAAATTGTTCTAGCACATACTTTGTACAACAGTAAAATTTATTTAATTTCTCTTTTAATTAATTAATTACTTATCTGCCAGGTGAAGCTTTAAGATTGTTTGGCAAGTATGGCATATTCAAAATATTTAGTTTCCTCAAAGATGTCTATATTGGGTCTGTGTGGCAAGGTTTTGCTAGCAGGGGCACGGTGTGTGTGTGCTACAGGTATGAATGCAGCAAAAGTGATATTCATAAAGGAATAGAAATCATATTAAAAAAGTAATGTCCTTTGTGGCAGCCAGTTCTGCATCTTATTACTGTGGTAAGGACTTTCAAAGTCACCAAATGTTTGATTCTTCTAATATTACCTAATTTTAATGAGCTCAGGAATGTCACATTATGTTTCCTACCCTTGAAAGTTATCAAAACGCAGTTAAGAGAACTTCTACATCCTGTAAAAGTTTCATCCCAGTGGCAGCACACTTTCAATTAGGTTTTAAAAAATATGTCAATAAATGGAATGCAAGTGTTTAAACCCTTCAGTTTACACTGAAGTTGAAGCGTTTGAAGATGCAACGTTTTATAAACAGAATAATAATGGATCTGCTGTCAAACAGTTGATCTGCCAACAATGTTCAAATATTTGCATTTGTTTCATGTGTGAAAACCAAATATAGTAAGACTAAATACCTTGTAGTTGGTTTATATTTTGGAAGGCGATGCTGTTTACAGGGTATGGCCCCTGAAGGACAAGCCTACTGGGCCAAACTAAATATCCCTGAAGACCAATACCCTGTCAGTAAATGTAGCCATGAAATGGATGCCTGGGAAGCAGCAGGAATAGGATGGATGTACACTTGCATCTAATACTTATTGAGACTTTTTACTCCTGAGCAATCCTTTTCAGCTCTGGGGATTACAAAGTCAGCCACAGTTTCTGTGTCCTCAGTCCCAGTGGGCTTCTCTGATGTGAACCTGTCCAGTCTTCCTTAGAACCAGTGGAAACTCTGCTCGTTTGCAGTGCCCTTTCACAAGGAGTTCCACAGCTTCCTTACCCATTGCAGCTCTCACTGCTCTGAAAGAGGATCCTGTAACCTTAGTTTGGGGGGGGGGGGTAATCAGTTCTTGTAGTTCTTGTGGTAGAAAAGATGAAGAACGTGAGACATATCGAGTGTTTCCACCACACTCACCATCCTGTCCTTCCATCATATCCCTCTGTGATATCTTTTTCTCAGACTGAACAATCCTAATTTACTTAATGGCTCCTAGTAAGGGAGTTACATTTTTGATTGCCCTTCAGCTCTTCTCTGAATCTTTTCCACTCCTAGGGCATAGTTTGTTTGGTTTTTTGATAACAGGACTGGTATGGCAAACTGTAAGGTAAGATTTTAATTCTTTTGATCCTTTTCTATGCCAAGCAAAACTCTACTTCTACAAGTAATACTCGAGTTTTCAGTCTGACTTTTAATCTCTGTGTTCTATTTTCCTCATCTTTAAAGAAGGGATAACATCAACTACTCCTCTGACAAGATTTTAAAAAAGATTAATGTGATTATTTTACTCTGACTGACATGAGGGACACACTTCGTAGTTCCTCTGCCCATTGGACCAAGAAACATAATATTTAGGAAGTATCTCCATGGCACAGCAGGATGGCATAGCTTAGAGCTAAAGACATCTCTGAAATGTAAAATAGAATACAGTGTGGAACTGGAGGACAACTGGCTGGATTTTACTTCTTAGAGTATGGGATATGAAAAACTGGAACAGAATCCCCAGTTATAGATTCCTCCTGGAAAGGCTGACAAGGGAGGAAAATGTCCTCATAACTAGTGAATATAATTAGTATAAAAATTGATAAATATTGATAATAAAGACATTTTCTGAAACTGAATTACTGGAAAATATTCTAATGTTTTGAATTTGACAAAACAGTATGGAAAAACATTTGTTGTGTTAGCCCTTGTGCAGAAACTTCTCATGGCACAAAGTCACACTAAAGCTAAGGTTTTAGATAGTTTTCAACAACTCTAAGACTGAAACCAATAGACTAAATAAACCTAACTCAGAGATTGGCTTCATTTGACATCAGATGCATAGCTTCTGGAATGCTGCTGTCTTTTTTTCAGGTTCCACATGTTAAAATTGAATGAAGAGGCATTGTCAGCTTTAATGTATACATGCAACAGCACTGAAGAGCAAGCAGCTGCTGTTGTGGATCACAGTTACCATAGCAATGCATTCCCACAGTCACTTTCAAATTCATTTATAATAACAGCAGCTTTAGTAAACAAGAATGCAAAAGTTGCCAGTGGCATTCAGGTGGTTTCGTATATTACAGATTGGCACTGCTTACAATAAACTAACTCCATTAACAGATGGACAGTCAGCACTGAAGGGACGCAATGAAGTAAATTACAGAGTTGGTTTTCAATTCCTTTCTCCCAATCTAAATAATTACTTGCAAATTATCATTTGAATTGGTAACATCAGACACAGGACAACTCAATAAAAGTCTGAGCCAATTTCCAAACAATGATACATTAAATTTGGTGCAGTCTTACCAGGTTCGTACTTATATAAAATAATACAAAAAGAAGAGTAACTTTGAGGGGCCCACAATTTCCGTGTCATGGAAATTCTGATAATTATAAAATAAAACTTGCAAAATGATCGTTGTACGGTAAATAGGAAGAAAGAAAAAAAAAACACCCTACCAACCTAAACCCTCCCAGCAGACAAACCTGAAAATCCACATTAAGCAGTGATCCATTTAAATAAAGAGATGTCAGATGCTATATAATAGTTATACACAACTAATTGAACAAGATTGAGCTATGCATAAAAGTAGCAAAATTCTGCACTGAAGAAAAAGGTATTATGTGTTTATGGTAAAACTGTTGCTCAAAGATGAAAAAAAATTACTGTTTTCTTTGAGAGATCTCAAAACTTCCATCAGAAACAAAATAATTCGACTTCACACTGTCACCTCATTCTTATACCAGTATAAATAAAATACTGCATGAAATCAGGATAAAAAGAGATGTTGACTTTAGAGGACAAAAATAATGACCATCCTTAATCTATGCTTGCAGATGTGAGGAGAGAGAAAGGAGAACTTGAAATACTTTTGCAGCTTTTAATATTTAAGTTCAGTGCAATAATCAGCAAATGGCCATATCATGATGATAAAGCACATTTTCTAGGGCGTTGATTCAGCAAAATAATCTGTAATGTTGTTCAGCTGTTCAAAGGCTGTAATACCCAGGCAGCAATTAAAAGGAAGAAGAAATTGAGGAAAAATGCCAGATTACTAAAGGCAAAAAATCTACAGAGCCAGTACTTCTGCGTTATGCTGCAGCATATATAGTATGTTAGGTGCATGAAATTCAACCCAATTAAAAATTTTATGATTATTTATAAAAAAGGGAATCTTGTTGCTTTTTTACCATTTTTGCTTGCATTTTAAGCAGGAATTATATTGTACAGACAATTAGAATACCAACTTACTGCAGTTTCTTACTGGTTAAAGAAGGATGCTCCCTCCCCCTTCTGATATGACAGATTACCCTAACCCATCTTTTAGGTGTTATTTTTCCAGAACCCCATTCTGATTTCATTTTGCCATCAGTAAGCAGTACAACAGAGCAAAGTAGATTTTGAGTCTGCAGAAGGCAGAGCACAGAACAAAGGTTGTGCTACATGTCCTCAAACTACTGCAAACAGTGTCCCTCCCTCTTGTTCTCTTAAGATGAGTGGATGGATGGTTGGCTGGATGGGTCATTTACACAGCCCAGCCATATATTCACATTTCTTCAGATATATTCTGTTTGCTGCCAGGAGATCAAATTTGAAGGAAGTCAGAGGATATTGAATGTTTGTCCCATTCTGTGCATACCCCCCAAACATAAAAAGCCAGTATATTCAGAAATCTCAGGCCATTGTTGGAACACAGGCTTCTGAACTATGTGTGTGTGCAGTCAGTCTGATGCATGTGAACATAAATAATTAAACTCTGGATTATAGAGGTGCAGAATTTATAATTATTCTTCCCAGCACATCTTTTAGACCTGGCTGGTTAAAGTGACAAAGATCCCTATTTTGAAAGAGACAAGGTGATTCAGTGATTGAGAGTGGGAATAAGTGTCTAGACTATTTAAAAAAAAAAAGCAAAGCAAAGATGCTCCAGACTATTTTGCAGTATCTGCAAGTACTTTCAGATAGCTGTCATTTTGAACAGCTGCTTACTCTGTAGTTTGAAATAAAAGAGCTCAGAGTGAAGTGCCCTAGTAAGCCAGTCTGTTATCAGACCTTTCAATGGAGTTGCTGGATTATCTTTTCATTCTAAACTGTTTAAATTCTGGGTGGTTGTTTGCTTTCTCATTATGGAGAGAAAAGGCCTGGATCTATTCATGTCTCCCTTGAAATCAATACACTAGATAATTTAATGTTGTGTAAGGCGCCTTTGCAGCCAGAGAGCCTGTGATCATCATGAAGCCTCTTGATGTTTTTGAAAGCAGTGGGAATATATTATGTCCACTCATATAAAAGGTCTGTGCATAACTCCAACACACCATTGTTATGGGAGATGTAAAGAATCCCCAGATGGGGAGCAGCAGTAATAGGTAATTGTTGGAACGGCACTTCACACCATCCAGCAAACTGAGCCTCTGGTGCTGTGCTGCTGCCCAGGAGCCTCAGTAACAAACCTGCTGCACATCAGGATGTCTGCACTGGCACTGCTCTGAGGGGATGTGTCTGCATCCCAGGCACCGGAATCTTTGATGAATTACACTGTCATATATAATGAAGTCTTCACAGGAAAATTACTGTAGTTTATTTTGAAGCTTAGTCAGAAGGTAGCGACTCTGGAAAGACAGGAAATGCATGTACTGTAACGCATAATTTAGTATATTTTGCATTCCCCTGCACCTTGAAATGGATCATTCACAACTCACACTTTTGAAAGCTACAAGGTATATTTCTCATTCTTGCAGAATTAACCATTTTTGACTTAGTTGCTTTTCCTCCTTGGCTTTTCCTTACCAATTTTGCCTAAACTTTTTTTTCCACGGATTTTGGTCTTCCAAATGGAATCAGGTGCATTTTCTTTCCAGTTCCCCTTGTTTCTTTAGCCAAAGTTTGTGAATCTGTGAAACCAAATTACAGCCACGTTGTACAAAAAGGCACCTCAAGCTTCCTTTATCCCTCACAAACAACCCTCAAAATTTCCAATGAATACCAGTTAAATCACAAATAGTAACTTGTATATAACTCAGAACAAGTCTTCCATTTATAAACAGCAAAATTATATGTTTATGAATTTGCAACGTCAAATGCTTTAAGAACACCACATTGTTGTTGAAAGAGAGTATTAAACTATTTAAGTGCTTCTTTGTACTTTAAAATTGTTTTCATCTAGTAAAGATTAAAATATTTTGTTCACGTTCAGAAGGATCATGCTGTTTTCCTATAAATTAGCAAAGGAGAAGTCTCGAGAAATAAGCAATGCAGAAAATAAACACTAATTCAATATATTTGTTTATATTGGGATTTGTTAGTGACTTAATAACTTATGCACTAAATATTGTTAGATGAAAGAGAAACACTACCAGCATGTGAAGACCAAACAGGTTTGGCTGGTGAGTTAGTAGTTTATATCCAGGGGAAAAAAAAAAAAAATCAGTTCATCTTCCAGGTTCAATTATGATTATTTGAAATATGTCATCAAGCAGTGCATGCCCAAATGAAGACTTGGGTTATGGAAGACTATATATATGTATTTCTTATGTATACACCTCTTTTCTAATAAAATCAGAGGTTTGTAGACTTGAATCTCCTGATGGGATGATTTGACCCTACGAGCAGCATTTAGCAAGGCATATCACATCGGATATGGTCTGAGTGACAAAATCTCAGTAGGATAAATACTTTACATTAGTTTTATACACATAAATGTCAAAGCACCGTATATAGGGAGAGAAGTCCATGGCAATATAAAAAATGTGTTTTCACTTAAATGTATGTATGATGCAAATGAAATAACAAGAAATTATGCAGTCTGCTATAACTTCTTCCCCCGAGGATGATATCCTTACTGTGCTTTTGGGACTGAACAGGTAACACGAAGGCTGTCTTTTAACTTATGAGAGCACCGGCTCCCTGGAAGAAAAGCAGGGTTGGACGAGGTTGACTTTCACCCTTTCTGTTTTAGTGCTAAATCTCTTACTGTGTTCTGTGTTGGTCAGAAGGGTTCTCAGCCCCTGGCAGGCACCCTGCAGGGCAGCTGCACAGCGCTCTGCTTGGCATGAATGCTTTTGGAAGGCTCAGGTGCAGAGTTCCCACCATAAAATGAGACACGTGAACTGTCCCTCGCCAGCACTCGGGGAGAGAAGAGCTGTGCTGTGGAGCAGCAACACCAAACTGGGATGCGGCGGCGCCGCCGGACCCGTGAGGGCGGGCGGCGCGTGCTGTGAGCGCTGTGAGCGCTGCTGCGGCCGCCGGGGACACGCGGGGCGACGGGACCCGCTCGGGCAGCGCCGCCGCCGACCCGGACCGGCTTTGGACGGCCGTTCCCGGCGGCAGGCGGCGTGGCCGCTGCCCCGGGTGGCGGGGGGAGCCGGGCCGGGGGGACACCCGGACACAACATGGCGGCGGCGCTGCCCGCGCGCCCCCTCACCGCGCGGGCCGAGGGTCCGCGAGCCGAGGCTGAGGGGGCGGGCACGGCGCGCGGCCCCGCCCCTCCCCGCGCGCGTGGCGGCCCCGCCTTCCGGCTCCCAGGTGGGAGGGGGCGGAGCGGGCGGGGCCGCGCGCGACGGCACCGCGTCACGCTCAGCCAACCGGCGGCGCCCGGCTGCGCTCGCGCGGGGCCCCGCCCACCGGAGGGCGTGTCCGGCGGCGGGAGGGGCCGGGGGAGGCCCCGCGCGCTCGAGCGGCGGCGGCGCCGCCAGGGCCCCTCCCCGGGGGCGGGGCCGGCCGGGCCCGCGCGCTGCAGGCGCCGCCCCCTCCCCGCGCTCCCCTCCCCGCCGGCCCCTCAGTAACTTGGCCGCCTTTTCCCGGGCGGGCGGCGAGCCGGGCACTTTATCGGAGCCGGAGCCGCGGCCGGCGCGGGCGGCGAGCGCGGCCCAGGGCGGGGGGCCCGGCGCGGCCCGGGACGATGCTGCGGCTGGTGTCGCTGAAGTTGGGGCGGCTGTACCGCTACGTGAAGCTGGCGGTGCTGGGCAGCCTGGCGGCGGCGCTGGTGCTGAACACGCACTCGCTGCTCGCCTCGCTGCAGCGCAACGAGCTGTCGGAGCGGCGCTTCCTGCAGCTCAATAAGTGCCCGGCCTGCTGGGGCACCAGCTGGTGCCGCAAGTTCCTGAACGGGCAGCTGCGGCTGGAGAGCTGGGGCCGCCTGCGCCTGCTGGACTTCTTCAACGTGAAGAACGTGTACTTCGCCCGGTACGGAGAGCCCCGCGAGGGCTCCCGCCGCGTCGTGCTGAAGCGCCTGGGCTCGGCGCAGGAGCTCGCCGACATCGACACCAAGATCTGCCGCCGCGCCACCGGCAGGGGCCGCTGCGACCTGCTGCAGGCTCTGCCCGCCACCGAGTTCGCCAGCCTGAACGGCGACGTGCGGCTGCTCACCCCCGGCGCCGTGGAGGGCTGGTCCGACCTGGTGCACTGCCCCTCGCAGCGCCTGCTCGACCGCCTGGTGCGCCGCTACGCCGAGACCAAGGACTCGGGCAGCTTCCTGCTGCGCAACCTGAAGGACTCGGAGCGCATGCAGCTCCTCATCACCCTCGCCTTCAACCCCGAGCCGCTGGTGCTGCAGGTGAGCGCGGCGAGACCCTCCCCAAGGGGCCGCACACCCGGGAACCCTTGGCGGGGCTGCGGTTCCATCCTCCGACCAGGAGGCCTTTCCCTGGCTCACTCAGCCCCACTGGCTCTCTCCCTTCCTTCCTTCTTCCCTCAAGGATTCTGTGTTTCCCGGTGTGCCTTCCTCCTCAGGGCTATGGCTCCATCCCCATCCTTTGTGCCCGGCTGTGCCGCCGGGTACCGGTGGGAGAGCCGTGGGATGATGCTCTGCTGCGCTTGTGCCTTTCGTGCAGCTCAGTGTCATGCTTAAGGTTTGATTTCTGATAGGTTTGAGTTTTTCCTGTGTCTTTCCAATAGTTATTTTCTGCAATAAAGATGAATACTTTTTAGTGAAATAAGGTCAGATATGTAATCAAAATGTGCTACATCTAAACCAGTGTTTCCTATAAACATGAACACCTTATTTGGACTAAAACAACAACAAAAGTTGTTGCTATTTCCTTCAGGTCACTCAGTGGAAAACAGTATTTTAAATAGGAAGCACCTGCAGGACAGGATCTGTTAATGGCATCTGATTTGGAGCTGAGTATGATGACTGTGTGTATCAAACACTTGCAAAGATAGGTTGGCCAAAGTTGCCTTTGGAAGACTTGGCAAAATGTAAAAAATGGGTTGGATTACAGACTGAGTGCAGTGTGAGTGTTGACTCTGCAGAATTCATAGAGCCAGTGTGGGTGTAAGTGGATTTATCTTCATTGTGTGATTTGTTATAAACCACCTAGCTTCTAGCTTGTCTTGTCAAATAGCTGTAGTGGAGAAACTTTCTTCATTGTTTTAAACAGTGATGTCTGTTTAAATAGTGGATGTTATGCAGTTTTATGAAGTAACATCATTAATTTTTATCTTCATGGACAAGCAGGAATGCTTACTTGGAATAGAGAGAATCAAAATATGTGCTGCCTGTTGCTGATTTTTGTAGAAGCTGAGATTGTTGTGCAGTCTTTGACTCTTACAGAAACTGTTCTCTAGGCATGCCTTTATTTTTCCCAGAGCTCGTGCACTGATCTCTGCCAGCCTGCAGGTGTGTCCCGTCCAGAGCCACCGGGGCTGCTCCGTCCCCTTTCTGGAGCTGCCGTGCCGTGAGCCATGGGGTGCAACCACACACTGTCCAACACATTGGGCCAGTGGCAGAGTTTTCAGCTTTGTACTTAAACACAAAAACCCCCCAGCAATGCCCCAAATCCAGGGTAAAGCGGAGAATTCCTTGTTCTGGGAGTTGGGGAACTACAATTTTAGCTCACGACTGCTGAAGTAAGAAATTGTTTCTGTGCTTTTCGGTGAAGTGGCTGTGATTCTAAAAACTCATGGTTAGCTGAAAAGAGAGGTCACATCTGTCTTTGCAAAACTGAAATACAGGTTGTGTAAATTGTTGTGGCAGAAGTGCACCTAGAGCTGGGTTTGCAACACTGAGCCTTGCCTGTGTGCTGGCCGTGCCGTGGGTGTGCAGGATTGGGGGGTGCCCAATGGAAGGGTCGGTGTGTTTGCTTTGCTCTCAGGGTGTTGTGGTTTAGCTCATCCAGCAGCTCAACCCTTCCCAACCGCTTGCTCCTTCCCCTCACAGTGGGATGGGGAGATTGGGCATTGGGAGGTTGGGAATTGGAAGATTGGAATTTGGAAGCGAAAGCCTTGGCTCTGTGTAGTCACTGCTCAGAGATAACCGCAACGTCCCTGAGTTACCAGTGTTGTTTCCAGCACAAATCCATACCAGCTACTGTGGAAAAAGTTAACTTGATCCTTGCCAAAACCAGCACAAAAAGCAAACTTAAAGTTGGCACAAGTACTTACACGTACTGAAGATTTTTTCAGACTATAAAAGGTATCTGTCAGTTAAATCAGAGTGCATTAAGGCAACTTTATCTAGAGCTGTAGCTTTTAACAACCTGTTTAAATGGAGATTCTTTGAAGAATGATGGTGAACATTTGCACAAGTCTCAAGGACTTTTATTTTTTTGACTCTAAGAAAAATGCCAATACCCATGTGCCAAATAGCAACACTTCTGCATTTTTAATAGATTTTGTAAATCATGGCCCTTCCTTCAGATATGTTTTAGCTTTCTGAATGCTTAAGCTTAATGACTTTATTCTTCTCACGACTTCTGATCATTCTTATTCATTGCAGGGGGAAAAAGCAAAACAAACCAAATGAAGCCAAACAGCTGTATCTCTATTCCCAGGATAATTACTCTGCATGAACAGTCTGTTGCCACATAACCTAAAATTCCTCTGGTTTCTCTTCATGTCATCAGTGGGCTTTCTGTTTGGGTTTGTTACAGGAAGAACAATAATTGACATCTGGTAAACATATATTAAAACATTAACTGTGATCAATTTGAAACAATTTCTTGCACTGAATTCACTCAAAGTAGCAATTTAGCCAAATGTTCCACAGAATCTTTCTGCTGATCCATACATAACTCAGTAAGAAGTAAATGGGCAAATGTTCTTGCTTGGGATTTCTGTTTTCTGTTTTTTATCATACACACTGTTCTAGCCATAGGTTATTTTCTGCAGTTCTATTCCAAATACATTGGCACAACGTAGAATGTCGATTCAGTTTTAATACTTGGTACCTTTTAAACTTTCTTCATTACTCAGTTTGATGTTTCTGATCCATAATTCTGTTGCTAAATATAAGGAGTGGATTAAAGGCAGTTATTTGCACTACCTGACATGTCCTTGAGTGGACTTGTATTAAAGTCCCGACTCATGCAGATGGGGGTGTTTTGAGCACATTTTGAAAAGAAACAAAAATATTTTTTTTGGCTGAGTTAAAATTGAGTGACCTTGTGTTACAAGAAAATTCCACTGATTTGATTGCATTGAAAACTGAGGAATCATTTTTTACAGTGACAGGACTATATGTATCAGGCCAGAACTGGCTCACACTTCTCATGTTTACTATGTTACTTCTCATGTTTACTATGTTGTTACTTCTCATGTTTACTATGTTACTTCTCATGTTTACTATGGTACTCATACTTCTCATGTTTATTATGTTCCTTAAATTATCAAAATTATCAAAACTATTTTTGTCTGTCTTTCTGGTGAAGCTTTCCTAGAGTGAAGACATATAAGTAAAGTGTAAGAGATATCTAAAATAGTCTAGATGTATTATGATGAATGGCTGTCTGAATTTAGAGGCTTCTGGGAAATCACTATATACAGACTTAAATAAAAGTTCTCCTGAGAAACTGTGACTTTTGCAGTTTTCAGTAGCACAAAAAAAGATTTTTACCTCATGTTTGAAATCCTGTAATACCAGTGTTCTTTACTATGGTTCTTGAGGTTAATTATCACCTATTAATTTGTTTGGAAAAATGGCACACTTCTACTGGCACTGTGAATTGTAACTTCTACAGTTCAAGAGCTATTTCTGAGTATTTAGAGTTTGTTGCATATTTTTTTCCTGCAGTATG